TTCCTCTCTCCTTTCCCTTCCTTTCCTTTCCTCTCCCCTACTCCTCTCTTCCTCTTCCCTTTCCTTCCTTCTCTCCTTCTCGCTTCCATCTTCTTCTCCAGACCTCTATCTTCCTTCACTCCTCTTGCTCTTATCTGCTCTCCTCCTCTCTTCCTTTCTTTTTCTATTGTTGTAGGTGTCTCTTCCAACTCTTTTTTTTTTCCCTTGGGGTGGTATTTCTGCAGACCCCAAAATAGTTGAATATCATTTCTTGTTCCCTTTCCTTCTCAAATCTATCCTGATTTTGGTTTTTTCCCCCTTTTGTATCTTACTTTTGAATACATGCTTATATATTATTATTATTTTCTTCCCTATCCCCCCCTTCCCCCTCCTTTTCTACTTAATGGTGTATTGCCCTCCACCACTTTTTGAAAAGGAAACCTTATCCATTTGGACAAGTTGTATTAACCCTGCTCCTTTGCATATGGAATGGGACAAAATGTATGGCTCAGAGCTATTGTTATAAATCTGCCCAGACACAAGGGTTTTTTAATGTTTGCTTAGCTGTGAAAAATATAAATCATGCTTTGTTTGGTAAACACCCCATTTCAGGGGCATCTATTGTGAGGTGTCAAAGAAGGTGGATGCAGTCACATCTTGATTTTTTTGACACCCCTCCTCCTCTGCTTGGACCTCACTATTCTCAATAAATGCCTCACGTAGGTTAAAAATGAAATAATACCGTAGCATGCTAAAAGGCCTGGTGTTTGGAGGTTGGAATCCAAAATCTCTTTCCTACTTCAAAACTTTATCCAGCTTTCAGCAAATTTAGTGAAACTCCATTCCTTTCCTCCCCCCTCCCCACCTCCCAGGCCTTTGTTATTGGTCAGCTTTTCTGTTGGAGCCACCTGCCAGCCTTCTTGTTGCCATTCTTTGTGTTCAGGCGCCGTATCTAATTTCCCCAGCTTTGCAAAACCTTTTTTAGTAACTGCTAAATGCATTCATTAAAAGCAGTACTTTTGTTTAGGTCCTGGCTAAGAGTAGCTTTCACCTCTTTGGGATCTGGATACTTCACTGTCTGCAACCTGGGATCTGCCTTGATTACTATCAAATCGGATTGCTTTTCTCTTATCTTCCCTTTCCTTTGCCTTTCCTAACACATACCTACAATCTCTTCTCTCCAAAAGGGTGTGCCTTCAATGATCTCTGGGTCCCAGATGCCCAGTTTCTACAGTCATGGCATTTTAGACCTTGCTTATTGAAGGCCGTTTATTCAGAAAAGTTCGCAGCTATATCTGCAAATAGGCCTCTTGCTCAACAGATTGTCTAAATGGCTTGTGCATTGTGCCCAATTGCACCAGCAAAAAGAACACTAGTGTTCTCTCTCTCTCCCTCCCTCCCTCATTCTCTCTCCCTCATTCTCTCTCTCTCTCACTCTCACTCACACAAACACACACACACACACTTACACCTTTTATCCTCAACTATGTGGGGAATATTACTTTTAACAGGGTCTTGAACCTCCTTTGAAGGGATATTTATTTCTATTCGTAGGCAAATTCGTTTGGGAAATAAACCATAAAAACCACAAATTGCTAGGGGTTCACAGGAGAAAGAGCAGGCCAGAGGTTCAATGGCTCTCTTATGTTTTGCAGTTCCTCTTTTATTTTAAACACTGGTTCTCCTCTTGATCGGAGCCTTGCAAATGTCATCCGTGCATGTCTTTTCCAGATTGCGCAGACAGACGTTCAACAGGGGCAGCAGCAGTTCAGCCAGTTTACCGATGGACAGGTACATGTCTTTGCATTTGGGGCTGGGCAAAGGGGTGGTTGCTGGAGCAGCTTGGTATGGTCAATTTCTCCTGAAGGAAGCCAGTTTCTTGGAAGGGTTGTTGACCCAACAGGAAGAAACCAGAGACATTGTTCTGTGGATTATACGATATTTACCCTATTAATTAGTTCTGCTCATTGAGAACTACTTGGAGTCGAGATAGCTAAACTGACTTATTAAAGAAAAAACACAATTACTTTTGTTTCTGCTTGGAAAACACTTTTAGACTTTGTGCTTGTGGTGGGGAAAAAGTGAAAGTTTGATTTTGGGTTTTACCAATTAGATAGGTTTGTTGTTCTAGAAATGGCTGGTTTATGTAAAAGTAAAAAGTTGGGGTTTGATATCATGATCTTATTCTACTGCACCAAAGGGAGTTGGAAGTCAACGCCTTTTCTTTCTTTTCCCCTTTTTCCTACAATTTTGTCCTTCCCCTTTTCGCCCTATTTTTCCTACTATTTTCTTTTATATTTTTTGTATTTGATATTATAATTTAATTTTTAAAAAGGAGAGAACTAGCTTGGAGTTTCATGCTTTGGATGCTCCCTGGCAGTTCAGGGGACTCTGATTAAAGTTCTGAGTTTTTCCCAGTCGAGGACTATTATAGAAGAAGGTGTTTGTAGATAACATTAGCAGTGTATTCATTAATTGAACTGCTGTCTCTCTAAGAGGGTACAGTACAGGCCATGCCTTGAAAGGATCCACCAGAAACAGATTCACAAGCTCTTTGCTTCCTCCCTCCCAGCAACTCTACCAGATCCAACAAGTGACTATGCCTGCCGGTCAAGATATCACCCAACCCATGTTCATCCAGTCCACGAATCAGACAACAGATGGACAGGCACCACAGGTCACGGGAGACTGATCAGCTCCAGCCAGAAGCTTTCCGCATGTGGCAGAATTCATAGTGACTTGATTGTGTTCCCACGGATCAAGTCCAGAAGCAGCCTTTAACTAGTCCATTCCCTCCCTCCCATGTGTCTTCATTGATAGAAAGATGTCAAGGCTTGTGATCAGCATTACATCAACTGCTTATGTTGGCTGGGAGTAGAGGATGCCACAGGAACTGACTACAATGCAATATATGTATTTTCTTTTTATATGTCTGGGATTTTTTCTTTGCCTTCTCTCTTCTCCCGTCCATTACATTTGAAATCAAAAAAATCTTTATCCTGTTTCATCCCTGATTGCGCATATCACATTATCATTAAATCTGAAAGTGTGTTAGTATGTACATGTGTATATACAGTGTGTGTGTGTGTGTGTGTGTGTGTAAGAGAGAATGGGTCGAGGGATTCCTCTTTTTTTTTAATGTCCCAAATCCAGGTGCTGCTAACTGCAGCTCCCAAGTATGAAAATAAACAGGAAACACCCAGCTTTTCCTTTATGAACCTATTTTCTAAAGGCATTAAATTTGGCCTCAAACTATTTTGGAATGACTAAAGGGATTTGGACATGCAAATGCAATGTATTGGGTAATGTTATAAAATTCAGCCAATGCATGTTTTTAAAAAACGCATGAAATGCAATAAACCTTTTTTTTCTATAATATTCTATACTCTGTGTCTTTCTCACCTCAGTTCATCAGCTGATCCTGATCCAGAACAGGTTCTGCTTTGCCAGATTTAGACTTGCCAAAATGCTTCAGAATCTGCCTAAATCCTATGGAATTATCTATTTTAGGTTGATGCTAAAGAAGCTTAGATCAATCCATTGGCCAATGGGTAAACCCCAATCTCATTTTTATTCCCTATTCCTATCTTTGGGCCCCCAGAAAGCTGCCAGAAGGCAAGAACAGTTAAGACAGAAAGGATGACTGAGAAGTAAGGCTTGGGGGTGATTGGCCCCTCCCATAGGGCATGAAGGAGGAGCAAAGACACGTGAGCCTTTGCAGGAAGCAACTTGGTTCATACTGGTCAGTTTGCCTTCTGAAGCTCCACTTTGACTCTCTGCTCCATGTAGCCTTGCCAAGGTTAAGGTTAAGGTCAGTTAAGTCTTTGGCAGTGTTTCAAGGAAGATAAAGGTGGGTGCTTATCAGCCTTATCCCTTGGCAGCTTACTATAGGACTCTACAACTATTTGGAGCATTACAGGCTGTGAATGAACATAATTCACAGCCTTTGAAATAAAAAGAGGGTTTTTGGGACTAAGCATGTGCTTTTTACTGTATCAGGAAGCCTCGGTGAGAACAGTTCTCCCTGTGGCCTTCACTTGAGGGAACACTAAGAGTGGAAGAAAGGGATAGGAATTTCCTATACTGACATGGGTTTTTTTTTGCAGGCATCCAGTATGTCTTGAGGGAGCTACTTCAAGAGTACAGGGAAATGTGCTTGGTAGTCAGCTGCTGCACTTGAATAACCTTGAAAGCTACCAGATACGGCCTGCTGTTCACATTTTCCGTATCCCAACAAATTAAGAGGGGCAAAACAAGGAGGCAATTCGTGATTAGCTCCAGTCATCGCATTGTGATTTTGGTTCAGACTTAGCATGGGAACTCAGCCAGCTGTCCCTTGTAAATAAATTGTGGTTAAGCTCAATGTGTGACTCTCACCGTAAACCCAAGGGAATTGGCTCCAAACCAACGAGTACTTAGTTGGGAGCCAGGCCCACTGGATTCTCTTTGGATTGGGTAGATCTGCTTTAGCATTTCCCCATCAAAGTTTTAACATCCTCTTTGTCTGCCAGAAGCCTTTGCTATACCTCATCAACCCCTTGCATGTTTTCAAAATAATCTCAGCACAATTCTCCTAGTGAATCAACCGACAGGTGTCCAGTGTGTTTTGCTAGTGTAATAGCAGGATGAGGCCAGAGGAGCTAAATTCTTTCAGAAAGAATCTTGTGACTACCACTAGAGGGCACTAGATTCTCTATTTTGGATCTGTTGTTCCTTAATAAGGTCTGTTGTGTTAATCTGCATCTGTTTTGTGTAACAGTCAAACTTTTTCAGACCAGTACACAACTTAGCCGTGGCGGATGAGCTGCTCTTCCAATAACCATGTTTCTTGCTTGCTGATTACAGGAAATTGGATTTTTAAAAATTTTGCTGTGATTTTCTCTTGTTTTTTTTTACCAGTACTTGGAATGCAATTGTTGGCAAAAAGTCTTTCTGGATGGCCTTTCCCATAAGTTCAGAAGACATGCGTAGGAGGGTTCAGAGTGGTTCTCTAGTAACTGTAAACCCACCCCCACAACTCTGCTGTAGTTAATGAGACAAGTACATAAGTAGAAATCGATGGGCTTGAAAGGAACTTCTACGTAAGGGAAACTAGGTTGGCTAATTCTGAAAGTTGGAGCTGGTCCGTTATTAATATTCCTAGTTGTGCTGGAGAGAATTATTAAGAATAATTAGAAGAATGGAATGGAATAGGGAATGGTAATAGGAGTAGGAGTAATAGAATAGCTACAAGATCCCTTCCAACTCTGTTAATTCATAGAGGTACCCTGGAGCCAGCAAAATGCAGAGAAGTATAGTAATTCATGTGGCTGGGAAACAACCACCAGGTATAACCCAATAGCAATAGATTTATATACCACTTCACAGTGCTTTACAGCCCGCTCTAAGCAGTTTACAGAGTCATCATATTGCCCCCAAACAATCTGGGTCCTCATTTTACCGATCTCAGAAGGTTGGAAGGCGGAGTCAACCTTGAGTCTGGTGAGATTCGAACTGCCAAATTGCAGGCAGCCAGCAGTGCTGTGCTCTAATCATTGCGCCACCGTGGCAAAACCTGAATCTGAGTTGAAAGCTAACTGATGCAGAGTAAATGGTCACAATTATCATGAGAATATGGACTTCAGACCTGGGTTTTTGTACTTTGGCTCAACTGTAAATGTGGCTTTAAAACCAGTGGTTAAATTCACATATTGCAAGACCTGTGAAGCAAGAGCAAACCATCCACATCATATATTAATGCAACATTTGAACTTGTCTCCTGTGTTCTTTTCATTAATGTAGACTAAATTATAAAGATTGCCTGAATGTTGGTTGCAGAATAAATCAATGTAGAAAACAAGAGAGGAACACATAACAATATAGACATTTGTGGGACTTGGATCAAGAAGCATAAACCTGACTTTTGTACTGAAAATGGTAACACAGCAGCTCTGGTCATTTGGACTCCGGCTAAATTGACTCAATCTTTGGAGGGTATCAACTAAAACCACACTGAAACTTTTTTTAAAATTTGAATTCAGACTCAATGATAAATCCCTCAATGCCTCGCTCAACCACTAGGTGTTGGAGAGAGATTGTCCCAAACAGGAGGAGGGATCAAGCAGGGAATCAGCCTGGAATCCTTATGTAGACACAAAAGAGGAAGGTTCTCTTGAATGCCACTGAACCTTATTTAGTCTTTCCCAGGGGCAAACTGCTAGTTTGAGAAGATTGCTGTGAAATATGCATTGAGCAATAAAGTAGCTAGCATATTCTCTACACTTATTGCTTGTGCTGACATTAGATCAGTTAATCAAGAAGAGGCAAAACAATTGGTTGACTGGGAATATCAGAATAGTTCTTTAGCTTCTAGCCAATCCTTGTCTCTCATGGTGGCCCATCAGATGTACCAAGAAGTTTACAAAGGAGAGATCAAGGAATTGTCCTGACCTAGGCTTCCTGAAAAAGTATAAGTGGGTGGCACTGTTTTGCAGTGGTTCTCCTCCTACCTCTCGGACAGGTCGCAGTCGGTGTTGGGTGGCACTGTTTTGGAGTGGGTGGCACTGTTTTGCAGTGGTTCTCCTCCTACCTCTCGGACAGGTCGCAGTCGGTGTTGGTCGGGGGGCAGAGATCGACCCCTCGGCCCCTAACATATGGGGTGCCGCAGGGGTCGGTCCTGTCCCCCCTACTATTTAACATCTACATGAAACCGCTGGGCGAGATCATTCGGAGGCATGGGATAAGATATCACCAATACGCGGACGATACGCAGTTGTATCTGTCTGCCCCATGCCAACTCAATGAAGCGGTGGACGTGATGAACCGGGGTCTGGAAGCCGTTAGAGCCTGGATGAGGGCTAACAAGCTTGTACTCAAGCTTGTACTCGGAAAAGACCGAGTGGCTGTTGTGTTTTCCTCCCAATAATTTGGCCAGTGTTCCATCACTCAGGCTGGGGGGTCAAATA